TGTCAGTCTGGAAGCTTGCGTTGGTATAACCTTCAACGACCAAGTCCTCACTCCCACCATAGACTTGGAATTTATCCTTGTTCCTTGTAAGGTATTTTAGGATATTTTTGGCCGCAGTCCAATGCACCTCTCCTGGGTCTGATTGGTGTCGGCTCGTAGTGCTTAAGGCGTACGACACATCCGGCCTTATGCATATCATGGCGTACATGATTGATTCTATCAACAAAGCATATGGGATCTCGTTCATTCTCTCTCGCTCATCATGTGTCTTTGGACATTGAGTCTTGCTGTGAGTCACACCATGAAACATGGGTAAGTAGCTCCTTTTAGCATCCACCATATTGAATTGTGCCAGTACCTTATCAATATAAGTACTTTGACTTAATCCAATCATCCTCTTAGATCTTGATGGACAATGTACTGTGCCTCTCCCAAGTCTTTCTTCGAGAAACATTTTCCAAGCCAAGTCTTTTGATAGGCGGTCGTTCACCTAACAAAAATAATATAAGCCTAACTATCCTCCTAATATGTAGTAGGGTTAGTCAGGGTCGATCCCACAGAGAAGGTAGTATCAATATTGAGTTGCTATGAATTATAACTAGTCGAGTAAATCAAAATAAGATTGAAAATATTATCCTACTAAAGCAAGAAAATCAAATAATAAAAACATCTAGAATTAAGTATCACCACTAGCATAATCAATACAAGACAAATTCCTACCCCAACCAATTAATTATATGTTCACAAGGAAAGGTACGCCCTATATATAAAATACCAAAGATCTCTCCCGAGTTGTCAATGGCTTCCCTAATTAATAATCAAACCTAATTCCGTGGAATCACCCTTATTAAAGACATTAAATCCGGCACCTTAACTTCCTAACAGTCCATTCTACCTACTTCCGTGGAGAATTTCATACCCTTAATTGATCTATTCAAATCCTTCAAAACCCAACTCCCGTTGCGATCAAGACAATGGAATAATAACAATACCAATTATCCCTAATCTAGTATTGGCATAAGCACAATCAATTAAGCATGAACAATATAAATAATAAATTGAGAATTTACAAGAATAAATAAAGTATTAATCATATTAGGGTTCAACTTAAATCTCGAAAATAAGACTAGAAATCCATAATAAATAAAAGAGAATTAAGCAAAAAAGAAATAATTAAAAGAACAACTAACTAGTTATATGGGGTTGCTGCTCCTAGTTTTGTATCATGCGGCTACCCCCCTTTATTATCCCTAATAACTAGATATATATAAGCAAAGATAATATTGGAGAATTTGAATACAATTAGAACTCCCCAAAAATCATCCAAAACGAGCCCAACTTCGTGTACAAAGTGTCAATCACGAGCAAGCCACAACCTGGTTATGGCGCACCTTTGCTGGCCACACGCGGGTTGTGGAGTGGGCTGCACTTGCCCTCTTCTTCTTCTCTTTAGTGTGCTATCCGCGGGTAGGCTAAGGAGAAGGTAGTATGCCACACCTCGGTTGTGGAGTAGGTTGTCCTTGTGTAATTTCCTTCTCTTTGTCGCATAAGAACATCTCCAATATGTAGCTCGACTCACATAATAGTTTATTCCTACAAAAAAAAGAAAAAGAACCCGAGGAGAGCAATAATCGAAATGTATATAAATTGATGCTCAAATAATTAAATGTAGGGAGAAAGCATGACAAATATCATATAAATATGACATATAAAAAGTGTATATTATTGTGCTATCATCTTCACAGACTCCAACATTGGAATACTGTTTCCAATGAGCAATATGTCATCGACATATAAGATTAGGAATGCAATGTCACTCCAACTAACCTTCTTGTAAATAGAAGATTCATATGTATGACGGTATAAGAGTGGGGGCGTTACACAACAATTTAATTTTTAGTATCTATAATAAGCTTTATATAATAAGGAAAATAACATTCATTAAAAATAAGTTAAATTCTGTTAAAATAAATTAAGATTATTATCGTTTGAATTTTAATAAAAATTAAGTAGTGTGTACAATTAGTAACTTTAAAGAACAATTATAATCAATAAATATAAGTTATAATCATTACTAATAAAAAAAAAAGTTCTAATCATTATAAAACTAAAAGAATAGGTAAAAAAATAAAATTAAAAGAGATGCGAATGACATAAAATATTATTTGAATCATATTGCTTCGTTTTTGTATTGGTCTTTAGTAAGATTTTACAGTTACTCATTAAATTTAAATTTGTTTTATATAAGTTCTCCTTCAGTCTTGCCTATTTGGAGTTTTACTTGGGAATTAAGAAGAATGAAGATCATTAAACCTAATGATAGAGTATAAATAAGGTGGGGCAAGTATTAAATGCTGATTCAGAAAAAAAAAATGAGAGATAAATGGCTCATACAACAAATAAAAGGCATATCATCAATCCATACAACACTAAATAGACCAATCACATTAACAGATTAAAACCAAAAGGACAAATCAAATTTAATGTTCAATGGGTACACGGATTCAGCTCAAAAGAGCTAAAATATTCATGGATTTTCAAGTCGCACCACTATACAAAAACAGGGGACTTTCATAGTTAAGAGTCATCAAAAAAAAAATCTGAGGATTAGAAATTACGAAATTCCTTGCATCATTGCCTTGTTCTTCATTGACTTCAGAAATGGATTTAAACTTTGCTGCCTAACGATGATGAAAATGATGGAGATGAAATGGACATTAATGAAGGGGAACAAAGGACTTGTTTTTTGGAACAAGGGAACTCGATTTTTTCGACATTATAAAACAAAAAATGATTTCAACACATAATCATGTGTAATTCAACCCAAAAGGGTGTGAAATCAACGTGACAAACAGTAATTCAACAATTAAAAACCAGATCTTGCTTTTTTAGAGGACGGAGAAAATGGGGGATGTGTTTTTTCTTTATTAGGAAACTAGCTTAAATTCAGCGCAACGCACGGTTTTACCAAACATTATAAAGATTTATAATAATATGTAGTTTAAACTACTTTTTACAAATTTTTTTCTCTCCATTTTATACAATAAGGTATTCATATTCTATACATTATTTTAATAGAAATTTTAAGTTGTACCCATACGTCTTATGTATATATTTTAATTTTAAATGTATAATTTTCTTGATAATAATAATGTATGGTTAATTATCTCTAAGTAAGGCCCTGTTCACTTCACCCTTAAAAAAATAATATTAAGGGTCTATTCTGTTCAGTTTAATTTCAGTTCAGTTCAGTTTAGCTCCAATCAGTTCAGTTCAGTTCAGTTCCTAATTGTCTTCTCTCATAAACAATTCATTTAAGCTCTATTCAGTTCAGTTCAGTTGTTTTCAGTAAATAGGAATAGGCCCTAAGTAAAAATAATTTCAGTGTAGTGAAAATAATTTCAGTTCAGTAAAAATAAGTTCATTTCAGTAAAATTCAATAACTTTAAAGAAAAAATATAATAGAAAATCAGTAAAAATAATTTCAGTTCAATAAAATAAAATTCGATTCAATAAAAATAATTTTAGTTCATAGCAAAAATAATTTCTTTTCAATAAAAACAATTTCAGTTCGGCAAAAATAAGGTGACGTGAACGGGGGTATAATAGCAAAATAAAATTACTAAATTTGGGAGTGAAAGATTGCATTCATAATCAAATTATTTTTTCTTGATAATATCTTATAGAATAAAAGATATGAAAAATATGTGAATATTTTTTTAGAAAGTGAATCACTATTATATGATTTAGTGAATATTTTTTTCAAGGAAGTGAATCACAAATTCACAATTATATACAAAAGTGAATATTTTTTGGAAGGAAGTGAATAAAAAAAGAAAAATATTTGGAGGGAAAAAACAGCACCAAGAAGCGACATGTGTCATTTTTGGTGTCTATTATAGTATTATGTTATTGACTATTAATTCACAAACCAAGCAAGTGGTACATTATAACTCTACCCACATCATAAAACCGGAAAAGACATGTATTTTCTCTGCTTGTTATCATAATTCATTTACTTTTTTTTTATATATATTAAAATTGTTCCTAAAGGCGCTTATGTGCCTTGTGTACCTTTCTTGCACTAGCATCGTAGGCATTCCTAAACAAGCCTACATGCCATGTGGCGCCGTGCTCTATTAATCGAGTATTTCATTTCATCCCACAACCTTAAGTTTAAAAACTAAAGTGTTAACCATATTACATGCCATTCTACCAAAATTAAATGTAATTAAAGATTTCAATCATGGAATTAATGCAGTAACTCGGGGCATCGCTCGGGGGTTAATTTAAAAAACGCATAGAAAGAGGTTTAAATTCTTAGCCTCATTAATGAATAACACATCTCTTATCATTTTAACTAGCAATAATTTAGGCTCTATCATTTAATATAAATATATTTACATGTAGAATAAATAATAATAATAATAATAATAATAATAATAATAATAATAATAATAATAATAATAATAATAATAATAATAATAATAATAAAAAACTAACTAAAATAAAAGGGAATCATAAAACTCTTTTATTATTATTTTTTTCTTTCTTTCAAAAGACTTTTTTCTTTTTTTTTTTCAATTTTTTTTTATTATTTTTTTATTTTTTCACAAGTAATCGTAAAGCACAAATTTTCATATGTGTCATACCGTGTGGCCGAAGTTATTTATTCAAGGGTTACTCAGTCAGTTAGGGGTTACTCGGTCGATCAAATCTAAGTAACCCTAGAATAGGTAACCCTTAACCGATTGTGCAACCCCTAAATAAGTAACATCTAAATAAGTAATCTCGACCACAGGGTGTGGTCAGTCACACAGAAAAAACACTGATCATAAAACTGTTTAAATTCTCTTGGCTATTATACAACAGTATATTCAACATTATATAAATTATTAATACTAATTCAAATTCTTTATTGAAAAAAATTTAGATTTGATAAAATTAAGTAACATCTCGGGGCAATGCCGGGATCACAAACACTATTATTTGTTCATAAAATTAAGTTAAAAAAAAATAATAATAAAGAAATTAAGGTAACCTACCAAAAACATAGCTCTGTCCTCTAAACTCTCTCATTTTCCCATTAAGAAGCGCACTCCACATTCTCCATTGAGACGCCTTTCTATCTTCCATTGAAGCAGCTTCCGAGGTAAGTTGTTGGTTTCTTATTGCAATCATCAAATATCAACTTCACAATCTAGGCATTGTCGTTAATCTACTTCTCAGTATACTCAATTTAGTGTTCTTCTAAACTCGATTATTGAACTATTGTTTAAATTACTAAACTCGATTTGTTGCTAGAGAAGAAGTTTATGAGCTTAATTTGACGTTGTCCCAGTAAATTAGCCTGTGTTCATACCTAAATTTGATTAACTAATGGTGAAATTTAAGAATTGTTTGGAATTAGGATCAATTTTTTGATTGTTTTTATGTGGGTCTTGAGCTTAATTGGCAATTTTGTATGTGAATAATATTTATTTATGAAATTCGGGTAGATTTTCAAACTTGGAGTAAACCCATTTATAGCTTTATTCTGAGGATTGTATGTGTAAATAATATTATTCATGAGATTCGGGTAAATTTTCGAACTCGGAGTAAACCCATTTATTTTTTTTAGTATGTGTAAAAAATATTATTCATGAAATTCGGGTAAATTTTCAAACTTGGAGTAAACCCATTTATGGTTTTATTCTGAGAAATTGAATGTGCTCAGAATTGGTGGAAATTACAGATTGTTCTGATTGTTGTTCTTTCTGAAAATGAAGGTGAGAGTAGAATTGGGTTCAGATGGCATATTATCAATGTGGGAGAAATATATTGCGTCGAATTGGCCAAGATGCTGGCGTTAAGAGATCAGATGGTTATCTCCCTTCCTTGTTTTTCACAGGTCAAGGAGTCCGATATAGAAAATTGGAAGTTATTCTTACAACGGTTTGTCGAGAACCCTACAAGAGATGTGTTTGTTTATGTTATGGTAGCTGCAATGGTTGATGTTTAGTTTATTAACTTAAATTATGCAGAACATGGATAAGCTCGGGAAAGCTGGTGAGACTGTGAAGGTTGCTCCCGGTTACTTCCGGAATTATCTTATGCCTAAGCTACTTGCAGTGCCAAACATTGACAAGTTTGCCTATCTGGTTAAGGAGCAGAGGAAGGTATTTTGCTAACTTTAATGTATTATTTGTTTAATACTCTGTAGTTATTTGCACTGATGGATGTGCTCTGCTGAAATGTACTCTATGTAAAGTTGGATTCCCAATTATTTTATCAGTCTAATTTTGTGAAACAATTCCTGTGAAAATCAGATTTACCAACCTCTAGAAGAAGAAGAAGTTAAGGTGGTGAAAGAAAGTAAGCAGGATCTGATGAAAGAGTACATTGCTGCAGCAAATAGGCTGGATAATGGAACAGTGGTTAGTGTTTTGTATATGTAATTTTATCAAAGGGCATATTCTCCACATTTCACTATGTTGTGTTTCACTGAGCTTGAGTGATGGCATTTTTTTTCCACTCAACAGTTTTATTTTCCTTCTTTAAGTTATTTAAAGAAAATGCATGCATGAAACAAAAAACACTGAATTTGTCTTCATATTCTACTTCAGCAAAAACAATGATGAGTATAACACTACAAAATTTGTTTGGAGGGAACTGTTATAGCACCTGGCTTCAATTTTGTCTTCAGCACCTTATGAAAATAAGTTAAGGAAAGCAATATCTTTTGCTAAACCTTAATTAACCATGTTCTGAAATCACACTAGATGTCTATTAGCATTTAAATTGTGCTTGCACATTAGAATTTGATCGAAATCAAGTTTACCTCATATTTTGATCAAATTATGTCATGTTGTCATGTTCAAATACAAGGTAGGAAAGTATACTTGAAATATTCAGTTAACCAGAAGTACATATCATAGCATCCAGGATATGAAAAGAGGAACGTGTATAATTGAATTCAGGTTGGTGAGGAAACCTGTCTGGTAGACTTTACTTTGGAAGGGGTCCAGAGTCTCCTGACTCATGGTCCGGTGAAATGTGTTCATGGCATTGATAGTAGTATGAAACCTAACCTTGTTTGGGTTAATGCATGCATCACCGGGTTAAATGGGCCTGCAAATGAGCATCACCGGTCTCTGATTTTAGCACATATCACACTTTGGCTGGATTAGGTAGGCTGGGGCAGCAGGCCTTGGTTGCTTATTATGACAACCGTTATTTCTTGGATCCCGACAGGCTTAAGGTTGGGAAATCACAGGAGAAAACACCATAACCTGAATGCATCAATAGAAGAAGTAAAGTGTACCATCTAGGTAGGGAAACTCAGCCTTCCCTGTGTAATGCTGAAATGGTCATGATTCTCATGAAAAAAGTTATGGTACCAACTAAACTCTTGTACAAGCCTCTTCGTCTTCTCCATACCATTGCATCTGCAAATTACCCGTTTAATCATCTTTTTTTTTTTTTTTTTTTTTTTTTTTTTTTTTTTTTTTTAATCATTGGAAGTTCCTTTGATCATTTGAACTTTAACTATTCCTTGATTTCCATGTATGATTTAGTGATGCAGCCAAAATTCCGCTGAGGAGTGCCAATTTAGCAATTTTTTCCCTTATATTAGCCTACTGTCCATTAACACTCTTCTTGCCAGCCTGCTGCTGTTGTACTGACTACTTACCAAACTTAGGATAATGTGATAACGACTCTTTACCATTTTTCTATGTTTCTTGAAATTTTTGGGTCTTTTGTTCCTGTGAGGAATTTGAGGATTGTTTATCATTTGAAATATCCTTGTTTTTGGCTGTATCTATTTCCCCAAAGTTGATTAGAGTTGGTAACTCTTCCTGATAGCAAACATTAGCACTAGCACTATCCTTGTTTACATGCAGTCTTTGCTCTTTGGTCAGACTGGAGGATTTCCTTATCATCCTTGATGTCAGTGGAGCTTTGACCGAGTTTTAGAAGGATTACATCTTGGTTCATGTTTCGCTGATTATGTTCAGTAGCTTAATTGCCATTAAATCTGCAGCAGTGAAGAGGTTTAAGCATGAGCTCTAAGCTGCTCTGCAATAAACTTCTCTACCCTTTAACTTTGACTCTGTAGTCTGAAACTGTAGTTTCCCTTATTGCCCAGATATAGTTCGAATAGATGGTTGCTGGTAAATCACTAAACCAGAAATGTCATTGAAGTTTTACCCCTCTCTTGGTAATACCTTTTTGATGTTTCATTGATGTAAAATGTGGGTGCTACAAGTGAAGTTTGTTAAAGAAGGTGAGAATTGGGGATGATTTCAGGGTAGGATTACGTTTTATTCAACCTATCAAGAAATATGTGCGCAAGTTCACTAGTGAATGGAAGTCCAAATGGTTTCATTTATGGTCCTTGACTAGGAATAGTGAGGTACCCACCATCACAAAGTTGGTGAGAAGTTTACATGAAGGAAAGATTCCCTTGCGTGGGAGAAAATATGTAGGAGATCTTCCTGAGGACACGGGCTTGGCTCACCTCGACACCCTCATATTCAGGAAATTGCATACATGAAACAAAAAATAGAGTTTATCTTCTTTTTCTGAAAAAAAAAAAAAAAAAAAAAAAAAAACTAGCTTGATTCTAAGAACCATCAAAAGTCTCCTGTAAAGGGATGGCAGCCTGCATACACAGTACAATGTCGATTGTTTGAGTACCAACTACCAATTGTATCCTTAATTAGAAAGTTTTTACAGGCCCAGGGAGGGGTTTGCAAAATATTTTGATAGAGCAACTGATCTGCAGTACTCTTAGCTTTCTTTGCCAGGCTATCTGCTACTGAATTAGATCCAGAAATTCAATCCTGGTTCCTGGTAGATGATCCAGGCACTGCAAATTGTGATATTGTTAGCCTTCTTTTATTGTAGTTAGAATCTGATATATCCTTGACTGCCTCGGAACAATCAGGCGAGATTATGCATTGGTCCCATTGGCTTTCTCCTATCCATTGACCCTTTATATTTCCATTCTATTTAATTCAGCTTCCAATGGGGGAGTTGCAATATAGCTTATGAATAAACCCTTGGACCAGCAATTCAGAGGAGTAGGTGAGTAGCAAAAAGAAGCATCCACATTTACTGTAATGAAGTTTGGCTGAGGGTAGAACCAGATAGATGGGCGGATGGGTTGGGCTTTATTTCTACAGGGTGGTTTTCTTCAGTGAAGAATCATTCTGTAGCAGCCTAATAAGAAGATTTGAACTAAGTGTCAAAGGTGATGTTGACTTTATTGAATGCGAGGCATTCCAACTTTTCCAAATTGACTAGAGAAAGAAGGAGAAAGTTCCAGGGGTATGAGGTAGAATGGGAGATATAGGTGGTTTGGTTCTCCCAATCGGTACTGATCCTGGTCGAAAAAGGGTTAGAGACAGATACATTGATCTTATCCCAACTCACCTTGGATCTTATACTGGTTTTAAGAATATGATTCATGACTCAACAGAATTTGTGCAGTAAGGGCAGAGTTTTGTCTTCATAACTTCAGCTTGCTGTTTCATGTTTCCCCCCCTCTTATCAGCATAGTAATGTGTCTATCATTTGTGAAGGTTTGAACATAGAAGTGATTGTGATTATTCTGGAAGTTAATTTACTTTTTTGTAGGTTTTAAGAAGATATTTTAAGGTTGACAATGAGTTGCGTGAACCTGTGACAAAAGACGAGATTATTGCTGAGGTATGATTTCACTCTTTTCTTAATACTTCACTCATATCTGGATGCAATTCCATTGTTGTTGCATTGACCTTGATTTATAATTGGATACTAATAACTGAATAATGTATTGAATCTGCCATCTGGAACTGTTGCAAGCACACAATAGGAGACAATTTATCTAAAGTTGACATAACTCAAATTTTCCAGGTGGCAAGGCAACTTTCTGTTCAAGTCGAACCTGAAAATTTGCATATGCCTAATCCTTTGTCATCACTAGGGGAGCATGAGATACCTCTCCGCCTGCCAAAGTCCATCCCAATGCCCCAGGGGAAGCTTATGTGGAGTCTCAAAGTCAAAATTAGAAGAAAGTGATCCAATCTCCCATGCCCAGCTTAGATCCAATTGAGGCAACTATACTTTGTTAAGAGACTCTATTCTCTAAGTTTACTAAAGCTATGGGATTTTGTCCATCTCGTTGTAACTTACGCCATCTAAGAAGTCAGATTTTGGATGGAATTTTCTTCCTTTTTTGAGCCTTCATTTTTAGTAGATGGCCATGAAACTTGTATTCATTAATAATTTTCCTGTCGCGCTTTTAGTATCAAAAGGCTTGATGGCTTTGTTGAATAAGATGTGTCATAATTTTGTTTCAGTATCATGAAAGTCCTGCATTCTTGTTAAAACACTTTAACATTCACAAATCACATTGATTAATAACAAATTTTGCATTCCTCTAAACTCTAATCTTAAAATTTTCGTCACATCGAACAACATTATAAAAACATCAAAATATAAACAAAATCAAACAGCATTTCATTGAGTGCATATTACAACAATATATATTGACAACTCAAAAACTAAATACACAAAAACCTAAATTTTTATTATTAAAATAGGATTCAAGAATAAAGTAATAAATTCAACTTAAATTGGTTTCTTCAGATATAGTGTACCTTTTTCTGTACTATTGAATTGTTAAATGATGAGCAGAAAGCTATTTATACATATGTTGTGGGTGTTTTACTTTATCTAAAGGTTAAAGATATTAATTGGTCTATGTACCAGATTCTTGAGAAAATTTACAATCATAGAGCAATAATTTTGAGTGTTGCTAAAATGAAAATAATAAAATAAAATTGATGATTATGATAAATATATCATTAGCTCAAGTATACTCTAATATTTAAACTCTATTTGTCTTTATTGCATACATTTTTCATAAAAATCATTTTCTACTAAATAATTTTCATTGGAAATATGATTGTGAAATATGTTTTCCTTTATTTGATTATAGAAATATTAATAGAGAAAAAGGAAAACAAAAGTAAAAGAAAGTGGAAGGATACAGAGAATTAGAGAAAATATAGAGAAGTAATTAGAATAAGGAAATGCAACATACCTTCTTTACAAAAGGAAAATACTCCTTAGTTTTGGGGAAATGAAAGAAAATAAAATTTTCATGAATATATTTTTTCTCCAAAATAAGCGGAGCCAAGTAAAGAAGTTGAAAAAGGTTAGAGATTAATAACAGTTAACGTTCACAAGGTCTAAGATCATCTCCAATAATGAGACTTGAGGGAGTTTTCTTAGGAGAGAGAGAGAGTATTTTTTTGCAAAGGATATCAATAAGTTGGTATCTAAACTTAGCAACTTCAAAAGAAAGTTGCTAAGTTTAGATACCCAACTTTGAGTCTCATCTGACAAAAAGTGTGGGCCCCTTATCAGTATTATAATATATTTTCTAAATTATTTAAGTTTTATTTTTATTTTTTTTATAAAAAACTTACAATATAGATTTGGTGGGCCATAAATTGAAAGTGACATTAGTTTACTTTAGGGAGTCTCACTATTGGGAAATTAGACTTTACATGAGTTGTTAAATTGAGAAGTGGGTTAGGTGTCACCATTGGAGGTAAAAAAACAACTCATTTGTATTTTAATACTCAAAATTAAGTCTCGCCAATAGAGATGGTATAACATTGATTATTTCATGCTTTAGAGAGCTGCGAGTTTGTGATGAATTCATTTCACAAGGGGAAAAAGCTATCAAAATTTTTTAGTTGTACATTCCAAAAAGTGTACACTACAATCACAGTAAGACATCGTTGTTTTACACTATCAAGAACACCAAAAACTTCATAAGATTCTTAATACGAGTACAACAATTTCACGATAGTCTAAAACAATGATTAGAAGAATAAAGAGTAATCTATTTAGTTCTTTTGCATGTTACGTAATTTGTATCTGAAATCAAAACCTTAATTTTTTTTCTCCATGGCTGCTTGCGCAGCGATATCTTTTTCAAGGTGCTCGGTCGCTTTTTCAAGAGACAAGACCTCTTGCATAAGTTTGGTTAGCTTTTCCATTTTCTCCTCGTAAATTTGAGGACGAACCTTCTCATTGTATCCAGAAGCATCCATCATTTTTTCCAATGATTCTTTTTGCCTGAACATTATAATTAGGTTTAAATAATCATTTTTTGCAAGTTATCCATGTTTTAACAATAATAATAATAATAATAATAAAAATCACAGAATAAAATAAGCATTATCTAAGAAAGAAATTCCAATAGACATACATATATCAATATATCATGTTAGATTTAAGACTGAACTAATTCATCATTCAGCCAACAAAATTTATCTTAAATACTGGTTCACTGTTGGACCTGGTGGTGGTACAGTAGTGACAATTAAGGAGAGAAAAGACGGGCGACAAACAGGGCCCAAATTGTACAGGAAGTAGGTTAAGAACATTGTTTTGCTGTATTTTTGTAATAAAAATATTCTAATTTTTTTAAAAGGTAATTGGACCACCAGAAAAAAAAAAAAAAAAAAAATGGTATACATCGAAACCAAGATGAGGTTCAAAGGGGAATAAATGAAGCCCCTAACAATGAAAATCCAAGATGAGATCCCAAACGGTGAAAAAAAAGGTTGAAGGTCCTAAACCCTGAACAAAAAATCAAAAGTTGGGACTAGAATGTTACTCTATCAAGTTAATTTGTTGTCACAGTGGTATTTTCGAGGTGTTGCACTTTGAACCTCAAACACATATGTAACACTAGTCAAAAAATCCTAATCAGTTCCAGCTCCATTATTCAGTTTCTATTTTACGATTTACTTTTCTCATTTTAAAATTTTGGGTTTACATCTACTATACTCTACACAGAATTTGTGAAAAACTAAATGCTGTACGAAGGGAATAAATTGCAAGTAACAGAAAATACGGAATGAGCTATATAACCAAAAGATGGAACATTTTAAAGTGTTATCAAGTGCACACACCTCTTTGTTTCTTCCATCTTCTTCCTCAACTTCTCACGCTCTACTTCTGCATTAATTGTTCCTTTAAGTTTCAGATGAACATGGAGATATGCGTTTACAACATATAGTGAACATCCAGCAAGAGCAGCATCATTCTCATTCACAATCTGTGAAATACAAGTTATAAGATGAACTTGTTCTAACCAAAAGCAGAACAACTCAGCATATAAAATAAAATAAAAAATACAAAAAAGTTGCAAAAAGGAAGATGAGGCATTTAGCCCGAGCATGGTAATGCTTGAAACAGTTGAAAGTGTCAAATGAACAATATTTAAGAGTTTATATACTGAGTTAAAACATCTGACAGGTCCAACTGTCAGCAAAATAAAATCAAACAGTTCAGAGTAAAGCACATAACCCCCAAAAGATGCATAATCTTTCTAGGACTGGAAGCAATCCTTTCAATTGCTATGACCAGCATTAACATCATGCTCTAAGTAATATACAGATTATGTCCGGTCCTAGTCTTAAGATAGGAGATAAGATGTATCTGATTAGTGATTACAGGCTCAGAAGAAATTGACATGGGATGACATGATGTCAAAGGACCAAATGCAAAACCGCTAACACTGGGTGCCCCACAATATCTTGAAATAGACTGGACTTACCAGTCAAGGAACAAGATGAGGACGCCACCATAAAAGCATTTGGTCCTTCAACATAATATAAACATTGGAGATATAAACCCAGCCAAGTATATCCATTACCACGGGAAGCAAGCATTTCAACTGGTCTAGTCAAGGGGCTAAGCTAATCCATGAAATTGTATAAATTAGGTCAAGACCTCCTGAACTTTATAAGAAGCTATCTTCTTACTGCGAGCCATGAGGATGCCATCTGCATCTTAAATGATCCAACAGTAGTGTGTCCTTTGATATAGATTCAGTTGGACCTACTAGTCCATAGCAGTAATACTATTACACTAATAACCCTTCCATTCTCCGGATTAAACAATAATAATAATAATAATAATAGATGATGATGATGATGATGATGATGATGATGATAATAATAATAATAATAATAATAATAATAATAATAATAATAATAATAATAATAATAATAACAAAAAAAAAGGCAATTAACACTTTTTTAAACACTTTTAATTTCACAAAAGGGAACGAAAAGAGTCAATCAGGAAACACAACAAAGCACATAGCCAACATATGTTGAAAACTCAAGCCAGCATTTGACAAGGACTAGGATGGTTATCAATCAAAGCATTACACACCTTTAATGATGACAAACCAGCAAGAGTTAAAATTTCTAACTCGTGACTCCGAATATTATCTGCATCTTCTTCATTTAAGCAAACAGCAAAAGCTGGTCTCCTGTTAAAAATACAAATTTACACTATCAGTAACAAATGAAAGAGCAAGATGATTACAAAATTGCTGAAATATTGCAATGTAAAGTACAGTATTTAAAAGTGAGCGAGAAAATCCAACATATTAACTGAAGAACATACCAGAAGACATAACATTCCCAATGCATGACGTAAAACTCATTCATAAGTACAGGTTGCATAAATAATAAGTCAAACAGATAACAAAAAAATCATCAATCAACAGTTCTAATATCAACCAAAAGTGAGATCCAAAATTCAGACATCATCTCACTAGAATATGAACTCTAGAGCAACATAATATTTCAGAATTACCTGTTGTTACGTGCCTGAATTTTACTACTCTCTCCGTTCCCTTTTGTTCTTCCCATTTCCTGACTAGAAATTCCTATATTTTCTTCCCAAATTGAATCTTCACTACTTTTGGTAAATTATAATCCCCAAAATATCCTCATCAGAGTCATCACACTTATCTAATTTCAATTGTATCCCTAATTTATTCCACTCCCTAACCCCCATCCATAAATTCTAAATCCTCCCATTCACCTCATATCCACCATTTTCCAACCTTATCTCACTTTTTTTCAAGTAAATCATTTTTATGTATCTTATCTCCCTGTTTCGCTCCTCCAAAGTACATAAACGGCTGATAAAGCTTATATGGCGGCCATTAGAAGGTGGAAAAACTACATACCTATCCTTTGTGTCGATCAGCTAGCTTCTACATATCTATTGGGTTCCTTTTGTTTGGTAATTTTCTGGAAGATTCTTTGATTTTCAAAATTTTTTTTTTTTTTTTTGAACTTTTCATATTTTATCTTCATCCCTCTGAATTTAGTCTTATCTTCATCCTTCGTGTCTATCAGCTAGCTTCTACATATCTATTGGGTTCCTTTTGTTTGTTAATTTTCTGGACAATCTCTTTGATTTTCAAAATTATTATTACTTTTTAAATTTTTTATATTTTATCTTCATCCTTTTGAATTTAGTCACAATACAGGCTGACAATGTTTATTTTTTTCTTGGATTATCTGTTTTCAGGGATGAATATGGTGAACCACTTCGCAAAGGTCGACAAAAATATGATCAGAAGAGAATAAACCGCCAGCGATGGTGGTTTTTAAGTGTGATGCTAAACAACTTAAGCAACCAAGAATGTAGATTCTAATGCTCCTGTTTAATATTTAATTATTGTTAGATTTTTTTTTTTTGGGAAGTTATGGTCCAACTTTAAATGTAAAAGGTGGGATCTAAATATTTTATTGTTTTATCTCTCCCTTAGATCCCACTTTCTTAACTTTCTCCCAGATTCCAAATGGGAAGAGCAAAAGGGAACCGAGGGAGTACAAATGATGTTAACTTGTGCAACCCTAAGTCTTTAAGTTTATATACACTATATGAAACCCTCAAAGGGCTGGACAACAACTACACTAGCAGAATTCTAGATAGAGGAATATCATATTTTTTAGCCTAAAATCCATTAAACCTGATTAAAAATTGGTCTTTCTGCTGCCACTTTGTGAGTATTCATTACAGATAAGCATGATAGATACAGGTGATAAATTACTGCCATATAAAAAATACAAAATATGTAACTTACTTTTCCAAGAATAACCAATTTCTTGCGACTGCGGCTACCATATCATGTGGGGTATGCTGAGGATTAGGAAAGGAACTGGAGAGCTCAAAGGGGAGTTTGTTAGAAAGACAAGGGTTTATAAGTAGAAAGAATTGGGAAGGGGAGTGCGATCTAAGGAAACATTAAGGGTTTATAAATAGAGAGAATTGGGAAGGGGAAGAGTTCTCAACCATTGGAGTATACGATACCTACCAGCAACAAGCAAAAGGATATTGCAGTGCAAGGGGATGAAGTGGAACCTAACAGGGATGCCATATGGCATCCACTACAGTATAGAATAGAGCAACTTTTTTCATATGATTTTGATGTGGTTGCAAAAAGGATAGGGGAAAAATGAACTTGGGAAGGTTGGAAAAGAAAATAGTCTCTATGAGAATTACAAACTTAAGACCTAAAAATATTAGAAATAACATGGTGAATCATACACGCAACTTAAGACATATCCACACTGCAAGAACATTTATGAAATTCAAAATAGATTGCCATCATATAAGAAATCTTTAAGATATTCCTCAAATCTTCTAATAATTACCAAAAAAAGAAGTGGCAGACAACGTATATGAACACTAATTCATCAACAAGAGGGGAAAAAAAAAGAAAAAAAAAAACAAGCACAGAAGTGGCTTAAATCACTTACTTTTCATGTCTTTCTTTAGCAGGCAATAAAGATTTAAGACCCCTAAGAGATTTTACAGCAGATTCAATCAGCTCCATGTCACGCTCCACACTTTCATTGGTCCAGGACTGTAATATTTGTGTTGCATAAGAAGGAAGCTCGTTATAAAACCAGTCACAGAAATTTAGTCATAGACAAAAAGGAACTGATTATTAAAACATACTTGCAGGTAAAAAATGATGCAACTAGTTAGGACTAAACTAGAAAGCCAGATAATAACCAGAACTTACCTGTATGACAGAAGGATACTCGCTTATCACAATAGATTCTTTCCTTTTAACGTCTTTCGGTTGAGGAAGTCTCTGCCATAGCTCTTCTGTGACGAATGGCATAAACGGATGTAGCAAACGCACCCCGAGCATAACCTCTTGCAGATGCAAATGACTCCTCATTGCTGGAAAAATAGGGTTTGATTACTTCTATAAAAACGTCACAGAGTTGGAATTGCCACCACGAGTACACTGCAGTTGCAGCGTCAGAGAACTCAGATGCCTCAAGGGATGAGACAGTTTTAGCAACAGCCTTGTTCAGAACAGAGAGTATCCACTGGCAACTGAATGAAATGAGGTTAACATTTATACTGGCTGGAGGAGAGAAATCATCTCCCAGTTTGCTCATAGAAAACCTAATAGCATTCCACAGCTTATTGCACCATTGACGATACCCAACAACCCGTTTAATATCTAAATTTATTTTATCAGACTTCAAAAAATAAAAATATTATATCAGTAAATAAAAAATAATTAAAATTCTGCTTTCAAACAAAGTATTTTAATCACTCAGATAGCATATGACCTTATGCACAGACCTGAGCAGTATATGAAACAAGTGCAAAGCGGAGAGCATCAGCACCACATTCTGGAATGCCATCAGGAAAGTCTCTCTTTTGTACATCTTTTGCTCTGGAAAGCTCACTGGAATCCAAGTTTCCTTCCTCCAGCCTCTTCTGAAGATCCTCCAGTGATATCCCATTTATAACCTCAAGAGGGTCCACAACATTTCCCAATGATTTTGACATCTTACGCCCATGTGCATCACGGATCATTGGATGAAGATAGACCTGCAAAAAGTTCCCGTAACATTGATAAAGCTAGAACTTAAAATAGAACAATCAATCAGCGGGGCAATTCACTATTGGTCAGTACAGAACATTTCCACCACATAAGACTTGTATAGACTCCATATCTTGACAAAGCAACAATACACTCAACACAAGCTCAGCCATTAAGCCCAAAAGAAGAAATCGTCTTAACAAAGATAAATTGCATTTCTCACAATACCATAGATTCACAACTTCACAAGAACCGATTTATTACATATATCACCCAAAATGCAACGACTTAAGTTTCTAAAAGAAGTGTTGTCATTGAATTACAAAAAAGTTCTATTAGAAGGCAATTATCTCTCAAAAAAATTCCTGTTATCCACCATTCCACCTTACCAATTTCAATTATTTCCTTTCTTTATTCACATCTTAGTAACCTTGTTATCATACTTAATTAAGTGGAGCACTAGAACAATCACAAGTCTTGTAGAATTCATGACAGATACATGCAGTGACAATAGAGTAAATAGCCTAATGAATTCATGACAAAGATAAATGCAGTGACTATAGTGTAAATAGCCCAAGTGAATTCATGACAAAGATAATTGCAGTAACTATAGTGAAAAACTTTATATTTCAATACACTTTCAGGAAAAAGATGCAAAGCACACCAAATACAAGTAGCACAAAGTATTGTTCTATCTTATATATTAAACAAAAAGGAAAATCATTAGCATGTGCAGCTATTAATATTTAGCATCACTAGCAAATATGCATGGCAAGAGCAACTAGGTATACCTTTCTAAAAGGCACGTCACCTCCAAGCTTCATCCCCAACATCACCATCCGGGCAACCCAGAAAAAAAGGATGTCATGCCCAGTTTCAAGAATTGAAGTTGGATAGAAATTCTTTAAATCATCTGTCTCATCTGGCCATCCCAAAACAGACAATGGGAAAAGACCAGAGGAAAACCAGGTATCCAGGACATCAGGATCTTGAGTTATATGAAACTTCTCTCCAGCAAACCTTCTGGTAGCCTCAGTTTGTGCCTCTTCCTCACTTCGACAAACTACCCAATGGTCATTATAAGCACCCAAATCCTTTAGTTGGTCGTTCTCCAAAATGACATACCAAGCAGGTATACGATGGCCCCACCAAAGCTGCCTTGAGATGCACCAGTCTTGAATATTTTCAAGCCATCTGTAATATTTTGACTTAATCCATTGGGAAACATAGACACCAGAAACACCGTAAAGGCAATACAAACACAACATACAAAAACAAATTTGAAAATTGATGAGGTAGGAGTAAGGGCAATAGCAGCAGCAACAACAATATGATGACAGCTACTGCACTTTGTGTAGTTTCCAAAGTCTATCATATCAAGGAATAAGGTATCTGATGTTTATCACTTGGGAAGATAATATTTGAATGGTGGGAGGATATCAAAAATTAACAGTGTAACTAACATATAACCATTAGAAGACATCATTATACCAATTATTGGTTCATCACCTAGTTTTGGTATCTGCATAGCCTACAAGCCCTACATTGTCATAGTTATAACTCATAATATCATCATAACTAAAAATTTCATGACAATTTCCCTTTACTCCATCTAGATTTGATTGTTTCCAGACACGCCCCATCACACCATATAGATCATGGATGGATGACCCTAAGAAGACTTCAGAACATTATTTTAAGTTTCGAAGGGTATAAAAATAAGGACACAATTGTACATATGACTAACACAATGACAAAATAGGGAATATATCCACTTTCGTAAAGGCTGATTTAAAAGCACATAGAGTATCATATGTATGTTACAGCATAAACGCATGGCTCCCACTTACTAGGAGATGTCAGCCTTCCATGACATATGAAATTAATTAGGTGCTACTCAAAGCATCAAGGCCATAAGCACATATTTGGCACTCGTAGGTTTTAATATAAAATTTGGGAATAATATGTCATACATGACGTATCAAGAGTCTCATCTCTGGACTTGGGAAGCAGGAAAAATTAGGAAATCATTACACTTTTATACAACATCATGTAAAAAGATAACAAACATTACTTGCACATAGTTGTAATATAATTTCAGTCTCATCCTACTCGCCACTTAGGCGCAAAGGAGATCACCTCCTATGTTACTTAATGTTGCAAGTGATAAAGACATTTTTCTAAAAGGAAAGTGTTGCAAGTAAAAAGCATAAAGGAACTGTATATTTTTAGGGATAAGTTTTTTATTTTTTTGCTGAAGTTGAGACAGATAGATCAACTAGAGATAACTTTTACCAGAGTATTAGCCATCTAACTCTGATGTAGAAAAAGTGAATATCACGTCAATCATAAAGCATATAAAATTTTATGAGAACAATGCACAAAGAAAACCAAAAAAAAAATAAAAAAAAAAAAAAAAACAACTGCAGTCACTAGTTTGAAAAAACGGCACTACTAGCTTCCAAAAGCAAGGACTCTTGTTAGCATTTATAATCTTGACACAAACACACCAAATATCTCAGACGATGAAAAATTTGCATGCCTTTTCCAATCAGCTGTGTAGTCTTTTGGAATAATCTCAATTTTCCTATATTTATCATCCATCGCAGCATCAAAGCATCCTTGGCCATAGTGTTGCAGTTGACATACCATTGTGGCTTTATTAATGGTTCCACAACATCATTACTTCTTGAACAAATGCCAAGACGCATCTCATTATCCTTAGATCCCCTATATAATCCCTAATATACATAGACATCTAAGATTAGCAATTTGTAGATTCGTACCAAATTTAACAAACAGTCAAGTGCAATATATGCAAGAAGACGCCAAATAATACTAGACAGGATAGTAAAGCTAACTGAATGTGCTGAGCAAACTTAAGGGAATGAAAGAGGATTCAAAAAAATCGCAAAAAGATGATTGAAAATTTAAATGATTAAGAAAACATATAACCATGTTCTAAACTTCTAACTGTCAAAATAGCTTAGCGAGATAA